TCGCGGATTCTAAATCGGTATGGAATCAGGTTAAAATCGCAACGGGCAAAACGAAAGCCGATTAGTCATCGCACAGCCCCAATCCGAAAGTAAACCTAGGTCTTGCCCTAAACCCAGCACACTGGTCGCTAACGTCTCAAGGCATGAATTGAGATCCTAAAGGCATGTCTCTTCGCCCACATCTAAGCACTCGCGAAAAACGAAATCTCCCGAGTTAACGAATCGGACGATCTACACCTAAGAGTTAGGTACGAGATGACAACTCGTATTCATCCCTCTAAATCTAACATAAAATAAAAAAACGAATTTCATACTTAGAAAATATTTTCTTATTAAACATCCGAATACACACCGCCCGGTGGTAGGGATTCAAAGCCACCAACGACCAGTCCCGGAAAAACAACGACAAAATCGAAAAAACTAAGAACATCACACATCAAAGTCATCAAACGCAGGTTGATCGACTTCGCCATCTACATCCGAAAGTCCAAGACCGACTTCAACCGAATCCGGCGACACCACGACGGGATTCCATTGATCCCACATGCGCGCCTTAAGGTCGAAAAACTCGGACTGCATATCTTTTTCCCGATTCAAATCTTCCCATCGCACTTGGGATTCCTTAGCAAACGAATACCCTTCATTCTGAGTCAGGGATAATCCATGAACGACCCCGCGACATTCGCGATAATCACCATGCGCCCGTTGAACAGCTTCCGCATCCGAATAACCGATTGCAAATCGCTCGCGACTGTTGGTGTCGAAAACCGTACTCTCGAAATCAACGCCTGCGATAGCTTCTGTAAAAGGGAGATCATTACTTTCCGCAAAAGTGATTTTATAAAACTCAGAATCGTTTTATAAAACACGAGAATCGTTTTATAAAACTCGAGAATCGTTTTATAAAACTCGAAGAATCGTTTTATAAAACTCGAGAATCGTTTTATAAAACTCGAGAATCGTTTTATAAAACTCGAAGAATCATTTTATAAAACTCGAGAATCATTTTATAAAACTCGAAGAATCGTTTTATAAAACTCGAGAATCGTTTTATAAAACTCGAGGATCGTTTTATAAAACTCGAAGAATCGTTTTATAAAACTCGAGAATCGTTTTATAAAACTCGAGAATCGTTTTATAAAACTCGAGAATCGTTTTATAAAACTCGAGAATCGTTTTATAAAACTCGAGAATCGTTTTATAAAACTCAAAGAATCGTTTTATAAAACTCGAGAATCGTTTTATAAAACTCGAGAATCGTTTTATAAAACTCGAGAATCGTTTTATAAAACTCGAGAATCGTTTTATAAAACTCGAGAATCGTTTTATAAAACTCGAGAATCGTTTTATAAAACTCGAGAATCATTTTATAAAACTCGAAGAATCGTTTTATAAAACTCGAAGAATCGTTTTATAAAACTCAAAGAATCGTTTTATAAAACTCGAGAATCATTTTATAAAACTCGAGAATCATTTTATAAAACTCGAGAATCGTTTTATAAAACCCGAGAATCGTTTTATAAAACTTGAGAATCGTTTTATAAAACTCGAGAATCGTTTTATAAAACTCGAGAATCGTTTTATAAAACTCGAAGAATCGTTAAATAAAACACGAGAATCGTTTTATAAAACTCGAGACTCGTTTTATAAAACTCGAAGAATCGTTTTATAAAACTCGAGAATCATTTTATAAAACTCGAAGAATCGTTTTATAAAACTCGAGAATCGTTTTATAAAACTCGAGAATCATTTTATAAAACTCGAGAATCGTTTTATAAAACTCGAAGAATCGTTTTATAAAACTCGAGAATCATTTTATAAAACTCGGAGAATC